TGACTTTTTAAAAAAGCATGGGTCTCGTAAAGCAGTGGGCGTCGGGACGATAAAAAAAAATCCTCATTGCTCAATAGCTGTAGGTGCTGGGTATAGGACTAAATTTGAATTCCTTCATCGGCATACAGTGACGTCTCTTCATTAGTGAAACGTTCTTGAAAAGGACGTTAAACAACATACAATCACATCAATCTTTCAATAAGGTTTATAAATGAAATTAATGATCAAAGTTAGCTTGATCTTTGGTTTTTGACAAAATTTTGACAAGACTTTACGTATGAATGTAAATCTAACTTGGTTATCTTGTATGATAATATATTTTAAAAAAACCCACACACATGCTAAGAAAAACAATTACAAGCTATAGAACACTTACATTCACAGTGGAAATGGATTACAAAGTATTGGAATTATTGGAAAAAATCGACAGAAAATGATTGGAGAAAAATTTTGAGGAAAGTAAATAAGTTAACCTTTTATTACAAAGTTTAAAGAATAAATATAAAGGTTGTAAATGACCTCTCTTTCACATCATCACCATAACCAAAAGGGTTAGCACATGTACGATACGATTTTTTTTATCTGATGACGTAAATATAGTAAATAATGAGGACCTTTGATCACTAATTTTAAAAGGTCCTAAATTTAGGGAACCCAGATCTTTCAACTGGCGTAAGAATTTCATAAATATCATGGATTCTGTAGAGGACTACGCCAGGCGATGGGCCAGACATGAAAAAGAAGACCTTGACACTTTGTCAGAATGGATTAAATGTATCATATGTATGTTAAAATCGCGCATTAAAAGATTGAGAGGCAATATGAAAACCATCTATCCTTCTGTATTCAATAATCCAGAAGTGAAAAAAGAATTAGATAGATTACATGATCAGTACGTACTGGTCCCTGCTGACAAAGCAGGTAACAACATTGTCTTTGTTTCTAAGGCTCATTATATTAAATGTATTTTAGAGGAACTTGGATTTAATTCTATAAGTGGTAATCCAACTTATACTCATAGTTCCCTTTCTAAGGAAGAAATTCTTCAAAATCATATGTCAGTTTTGAATATTTTTAACATTCCAAACAACCAAAATGAATTCGAAATACCATATTCATATTGGATTCCGAAACTTCATAAAAATCCTTACAAACAAAGATACATAGCGGGTTCCAGTAAATGTTCAACCAAGCCTCTATCTTTACTCCTCACTAAGATATTAACAGTGGTGAAGGAGAAACTTCAAGAGTACTGTGCAACAATATATTCGAGAAGTGGTGTAAATCAGATGTGGATACTTAAAAATTCCAAGGAACTTTTGGAAAATTTGAAATCACAAGATTTTACCAAAATCAACAGCTTAAAAACTTACGACTTTTCAACTCTGTACACAACCATTCCCCACGATAAATTAAAGTCCAGGCTTTTTGAGTAGTTGCTAAGAAAACTTATGCAGCAATATACCTTCATCACCTGCATACGGGGTATATATCTCTCAGTTGATTCGATACGCAAGAGCATGCTCTACGTATGTTCAATTTCTAAAACGAGGTAAATTATTGACAAATAAGTTGATGAAACAAGAATATCAGCTGTCTCGTTTAAAGTCATCATTTCGTAAGTTCTTTGGTCGATACAATGACCTTGTCAGCAAATACAATTTATCATTGAGTCAAATGCTGACTGACGTTTTTCATACTAATTGTTAGGTCATTATTTACACACTGAATTGTCGACGGATTTTTCCGTTATTTCCCGATCATGACAAGGAGCACACGGCGGGTGTGACCGGTCGGCAGGGGATGCTCACTCCTCCATGGCACCTGATCCCACCTCTGATGTTTGGAGGTCCGTGTTTGCTCTGCTCCTATTTTGTATTGTATAATGGACTTTTGAGCTTGAATACTGTTCGTTATCTCCATATATTTCATCTTAAAAATTTCAAACAACCATGCCTCACGATAAATAGAAACTCGGCTGATATCATAGACAACTGCTTCTTAAATAAAAATGGAATTGGGAAATTTTCATATCTTGTGACAGGTTTACAAAATTACCTTTTCAAAAATCCCTCTGATTCTACACACAAATATTCTGAACTTGACGCGTATTATCAATTAACAATAGTTATTTCCATTCATATGTCGACATGATATATCCCAGTGAACTAAAAATAAAAGATACCACAGAGTCTGACACATCTGTTTCATATTTGGATATTTTACTTGAAAAAGTCGTTAATGGTAATCTAAAAACAAAACTTTATGATAAACGTGATGACTTTAGCTTTTCAAACGTCAACCTCCCTTTCTTACGCAGCAATATACCCTTATCACCTCATAACGGGTTTATTTCTCTCAGTTTAATTCGATGTGCAAGAGCAAGCTCTAAGTATGAACCATTTATGAATCGTGGTAAGTTATTGACAATAAAATCGATGAAAAAATATCAACAGTCTCGTTTAAAGTCAACATTTCGTAAGTTCTATGGTCGAAACAATGACCTTGGCAGCAAATGCAATATATCATTGAGTCAAATGTTGACTGACGTTTTTCATACTAATTGTTAGGTCATTATTTACATTTGAATTGTCGACAAATTTTCCCGTTATTTCCCGATCATTACAAGGAGAACATGACGAGTGTGACCGGTCGGCAGAGGATATTCACTCCTCCATGGCACCTGATCCAACCTCTGCTGTTTTTGGAGGTCTGTGTTTGCTCTGCTCCCGATTTGTATTGTTTGAATGGACTTTTGAGCTTGAATACTGTTCGTTATCTCCATATTTCATTAATACTCGTTTTTAACAAGAATGACAAAATGTTTTTAATTAAGAAGTATTGCACCGTACTAAGAGACAACCTTAAACAGGGTAACATTGCATACTTCTTGTGAAAATTATGAGCTTATGTTTTTTCGTAAAAGGTATATTGTGCATAAGTGAGGGAAGTTGACGATTGAAAAGTTAAAATCATCATGTTATCGGTTTAAATGATAGCATTGACAAAGGTCACAAAATTGGTCAATTTCCGATTTTTTTCCCCAAATTTTCGTCAATTTTAAACAACATTTTGCATTAGAAAACAAAGATCACAAGCTTGTCTATCTATCGAATTTTACATATTTTATGTATGAGATACATTACATGCATGAAAATTTTAGATAGGCAAGCTTGTGCTCTATGATTTCAGCAGTTAAAAGCATGTATAAGGACAAGATAGGCTAAGACCCCTTTTTGGTCCCTGGTTTGAGGTGTCTTTTAGAATGATGCAACAGTTTATCAATAAAAACCTGTTGTCACCCCTGCCACAAAATAAGTAATTGTTCCAAGTTATGGAATACACAGAGGTCACAGGAAGGTCAGAACATATGCTATTTTCCGAATTTTCTCATTTTTATGCAAATTTTCATCGATTTTACAACACATTTCGTTTCAGAAAACATAGAGCATAATCTTGCCTATCTGCCAAATTTATATATTTCATACACTAGCATCAGATGCATCTTATGTATAAAAATCTTAGATAGACAAGCTTGTGCTCTATGTTTTCCGAAGTGAAAAGTATCTCAAATTTGACGAAATTCCACCGGAACTGCGGAAATTCGGGAAATTGACCTACTTCCGCACCCTCTTGTGGCCTTCTTGTAAGCTTTAAATCAAAATTAGTTGCTGGTTTTAAAACAAGCATCATTTTAAGTTCCTAACTACAAACTATCACAATTTTAACTGTGTTCTGATTTTTACTTCAAATAAGGGGCCAGATTGGGCCGTTACCATATCTTGTAAAATAGTCCACTTTGGCACTGTCGTGTGGTCTCCATGACTCTTTGAATCAAAATCAACGATAGTTATGAAACAAGCATCAATTAAAGTTCATTATTGCAAACTTTCTCATTTCTTACTTTTTTATTTTTTTCTATCAAATAAAGGCCAATATTTGGCCATTACCACATCTTATCCTTCATACAATTTATTTTTTCGATGCTTCCGAATTCTAAAGTTTGTGAGCGTTATCACCAGCATTCATTTTAGGTAGAATAGCCATCCTTCGGACATGAGCTCTAATAAGTTTATGTGAGAAATCGTCATTTTCTCAAAGAAAATCTATTTTCTATAAAGAGCAACAACAATTATTAGAATAATAATTGTATTTATGTATTTAATGCGTTAATTTATTTAGAGCTTTTCAGTAGGATTTTATGTTTGTAAATTGTGAAAATTCTTAGATCCACGCCTTGGCTGATGTATTAATAGCTTCTAGCCAATGATGGTGGAAGGTCACGTGGTCAGCTCAGCGAGTCATTCAGTTGTATTTTGATACCCGCACGCTGACCACCGCTTACACGAGGCACGTCTATTTTGAAGACCCACCTCCACCCCAGCATTCCTACCCCTTAATATGGTTATTAATGTGTCATGTAAAATTATATTTAGGCCTATTTTGTTTTAATGTGCCATCTTTTTGCTAGCTTGGCCTAATTTGTTTTTGATGTGCCATCTTTTTGCTAACTTTTTCTTATGGTGTTTTGGCCTATTTTGTTTTGATGTGCCATCTTCTTGCTACCTTTTTCTTATGATGTTTTGATTGTATTGTTTTACAGGTACTTTTTTCTAGTAATTTTTGGGGGATCAGACATTATCATATTTTACGTAACTGATAACCAAAACTTGTGAATCTGATCCCCCTCTTGTGTGTTAAATTGTTTATGTTTATACCGTCATTTTAATAAATGACATTATTCATCTCCATGAAAGTGTTTCATTTGACTTGTACAAAATTAGCAAAAACTAGCTGCGGTGAGCTTGCTTATAAGCATTAGAAGACATAAAAAAAGGCTTATTTCTCTTGTAATCATTCAGTCTATGTCAGAAATGATTAAACAAATAAAAAAAAAAAAAGCTTGATGGTCTCAATTTTGTGGTATACTTTATGTCGCTTCCAAAGACTTGGGTACACTTTTATGTTTCTTGATAGAATAATTTCACTTTTCTTCGTAGGCATATTTAAACCATGTGTACTGATAAAACAGGATCCGATTGGAATAAAGAAACTATTTTCTTCATTATCATCAATGTGTTCTTGGTAAGTGTAAGAAAGATTTTTATCCATTATTTATTAAAAGGTACAAAGAAATAATGATTTTTTTTTTCAAAACTAATTTTGTATTTTACATATTACACTTTTCCCGGATGCTGAAAATATTTACGTAATATATATATATATATATATATATATATATATATATATATATATATATATATATATATATATATATATATATATATATATATATATATATATATATATATATATATATATATATATGAATTAAATATCTACATGGATCGTAAGGGTGCCATTAAAAAAATGAAACAATATTCATCGTTTATTTTCCTTAATTTCATGCTTTCTTTAATATCAAAAAATAATTTAAACGATTCTCTATTTTAAAAAAAAGTAACAATAGAAGAAGTCTCATTTATGAGAATGTTAAACTTTTGAGAATCTTAAAATTATTTTTGTTTCAACCCAAACCGATTTCTCTAAATTTTCTTTAGCCAATAATGATTCGATAAATAATCGAAACATGAAACATAATTATATATTATTATAAAATTATTTTTTGTCGAGTAAGTGCTCAATAAAAATTGACCTTTGTTCTTTATATTTTTTATTTTTTACTATATGTGACATTTGAACTATAAAATGCTATATTGATTACAGTAATACATATTATATAGATACTACAAAATTAAATCAATTAAGATCCTTGCTGCAAAGGTCATTGTTTGTTATATATTTTGAGTAACTGTAGAACTCTGATTCCCAAATTGAAATTTAAAATCCCACCTCTGATGTTTTTGGAGATCCGTGTTTGCCCTGCTTCCGATCTGTATCGTTTAAAGGGACTTTGAGATTGAATAGTGTTCGTTATCTCCATATTTCATAAACTTAAAAATGTCAAAAAACAGAGAGTAGGATATTGTTATTTCATTAAGCATTGAAAGGATATCATTAAAAAAGAGTGAAAGATTCAATTTCCGGAAACGAAACAAGAAATAAATCAGAAGAAAGTGGAAAATTATATTTTTTTTACTTTAAACTCTATAATCTCTGATTCAGTACTGTGTAATCTCTGACGATGTTAAATGACTCTTATTGATAATTAAGATTACTCCTCCTGCATTTAATTTTATATTGAATACTCATGATTTTATACGAAACACATAGGAACTTTTCATAAGGTTTTAAGAAATTGTAATTGTTCTGAATGAAAGTGTATTATTTCATCAAACTTTTGCAGGGAATAAGTAGTCATTTACGACGATTTTTAAGGAATCGTCAAAATAAAAAAAACACAGACGTGTTCTAACTTTTATTGATTATCAATTTATTATAAAAAATGATTGTTTGTTTATGTTTTGACTTTTCATAAGGTTTTAAGAAATTGTAATTGTTCTGAATGAAAGTGTATTATTTCATCAAACTTTTGCAGGGAATAAGTAGTCATTTACGGCGATTTTTAAGGAATCATCAAAATAAAAAAACACAGACGTGTTCTAACTTTTATTGATTATCAATTTATTATAAAAAATGATTGTTTGTTTATGTTTTGACTATTTATTTGAAAAATATATGAGAAGGGTGAAAAGTGTAAAAATTAAAAAAAAAAAAATGTCGAAAAGATGAAAACCAATTCTTTCAGAAATATCATGTCATTTTTAAAATTATTACACTCAACTGTCAGAGTTTTGAAATTTTTGGTAATTGTAAGAGGTAGATGAGCAAATATGGCTCGCCTTTTGGTTTTGAACATTTCTTCGTTCGAGCATAATCTGTTTTATGATATAAAAGGTATATTTTCTCGAGAAGAAATGAAAGACATTTCTGTTCTGTTTTGATTGATTTATTATAAATTCAGCATTTGTGAACTGTCAGTGTCTTACTAAAATCCTATTCTGTTTATTCAGTTCCTTTTTGGATTTGGATGGCTGGTAATTGGAGCTGTTGTCCTTGACAGTATCTTACTGAACAGTGACGTCAACACCATTTTGAACACAATTACAGTACTTTCAGGTGGACTTGGCGACAACATCGAAATCCTGTCCATAATGTTGATTCTCGTAGGAGTGCTTATAACCGTAGATGCCGTAATAGCTGTTATAGGTTCTGTCTTACTTAAAGAGAAGAAGGAATGGAAAATATTCTTAATCATAGTAAGAAAGTCAGCTAAACAATTGATTATAGAATGCACTAAACATTTTTCTATGTGCGCACAGGTTTAGTAAGACATATATGAAGGATCATTGTTGAAACATATCATCTAATTGTCAATCCATGAAATTTCCCTTCTGTGAAATTAAGGCCAAAAGTTGCTAAACCGATTGTAATTTACATATAATATTTCAATTAATTTTTGAAATTAAAAGGATTCACACAAGGAAATGAAATTTTACATGAGATTTCCTAAAAGTTTTTCTAGAAAATATTAATATTCTCTATCTCTCTCTCTTTCTCTCTTTTTTTCTCTCTCTCAGTAATGGGTTAAAAGGATTGGTGATTTATATTATGACAACAACAAACCGTACGAAAACATGTTGATCTTCTCTCCATTTGCTTCACTGATCACGATAGTGATAAAAAGGAAATATGATACTCTAGTTCAGATTTTTCATTTTCGTAGATATTGCCCTGTTCCAATTTTTATTTTTAATTGGATATTCAAGTTAGACAACTAATATGTAATTGTCCTATTTAATATCACCCTAATAAAGAAGAAATAAAGCTTAAAGTAAACTACAGTTCCCTTTCAAATTGTATAGATCAGGACCCAGCTCACTATAGAATGATTTGCGCAAACATATTTTACATATGTGTATTATAAAGTGAAATGTGATAGAGGAGAGAGAAACTGGCTGAGTGCGTTAAGCTCAGGAGAGTAATATTTATCACATTTTTATGTAATGTACAGCGACTACATCAGAATTTTGAAGCGTAACAAAGATATGATTATTATCAGATTGAAATCTTCTTAAAAGACAGTGGTCCAGAAAAGAATAATATGAAAGTAGATTAAAGTTTGTTCAAATCCTGAGGGACAATATGGGTTCACAACTGTGTATCAAAGTTTAACATGGTGATTCTATAAAAGAAAAAAAAAATATCTTGAATAATCTTCTCAAAAAGAATTTATATCATTCGAATCAATATTCAGAATCTCAATAATGTACTGGGGATTATATTTTTGTTTTGGTACACAGCACCAACCAGACCCATGTGACAGAAAGCATTGCTAAGAGCAGTACCGGGGACTGCTTTCTGGGACTGCTCTCGGAATGCTGATCTTGACGAACAAAGCAGTCCTAGGGACTGCTGGGACTGCTAGATTTGCTTTCTAGAAGTCTCAAACGATTCCAGAGAAGTCCTGGATTTTGAGAGAACTTTGGAATCAGGTTTGTTCTGGTTGGTACTGTATTTTATAAGGAAAATAAAATATCCTCGGTAACAATTGGGGTTTTAAGAATTAAATTAAAATTTAAATTCCACAGATATTGCTAGTTATTTCCTGTAAACACCGAAAGTGTAAAATCTTGTTAACGGTATTACTTTTATTAAACATTGTCCTAGCAAAAAGGTTTGTTAATGTTACTAAAAGTAGGCATCATGAATGTAAAGTGTCTGCCTTTAACCATATTATTAATCAAAGTACTGAAAATACTGGGAAGCGCTAAGCATATTGCAATAGATGGTTTTCCATCGAGGTAATTTAAGCAAGAGTTATTCCCCATGGACGCCATATTGTAGGTCAACATCTCCAGATCCCTTCATTATTCAACCAAGTTCAATTTGTTATACTTGGCACTGAGGTAACGATAACACCGTTTTCCCTATGAATATACGTTTGTTAAAGCTTCTTTTAATTCTTAATTTCAATATTGTAAATATTTTTCCCCATATATTTCTGGCATGCATGTTTAAAATTGGTTGCTCAAAGAAGAAAATTCTCTACTTTGACCCACAAGATGGCGGCCAAGGGGAATAACTCCAAGGCAAAATACGTCAAAGGAAACCATCTATTTGAAATTCATCAGAATTATTTTGAATTTAAATTGCCTCTTGTATTTGAATTTAAGCAATATCTTGACAGTGCGGCTGCGCTAGGGAGAGCACAGTTGTTTGATACATAATCAAACACGTGAGTCATGAAAATCTCCCGTTGGGATATGAAATTCAACATTGTCTTATGCCTTTTTATTTTAAGCATTTTACATTTTCTTCTTCTGTCAAAAGATCAATCAATTTCACATATATGAAATTGCAAGTAAATATTTCTCCGTTTCTTAAAAAAAAAACCAACAAGATATACAAATTAAATGGCAGATATTTACTCCAAACAGCAATGTATTTCTCAACCCTAATAAAAGAAAAAAGAACATGTAAAACTATTTTCTTTTTCCATCTCCTTATAGGAGTCTATACGAAGTAGCTTTGCGTATAAATCACAATTTATTGGAGGGGGAAGGGGATGGTCGACGAGTTTCCCGATCAAAGTTAGACTATAAATGTAGCTATACATTTGCTGGAAAATGTGTATTTCTAAATAATTTTGGACACTTGAAAATGTCGCTGAAATTCCTCTCATTTATGTGCAACACCGACAGCTAAAATGTTCTAGTGATAATTTTTAATAATAAATTCATTCTGTGTTTACGAGTGTTTTAAATTGAAGATTAGCTGTTAGTAACTGTGATTTAATTTTAGAAACTGCACTCGGAAAATAAACATGTTGTTTGTTTATTGCGTCGATAAATATTTCTTTATTGATAACATAATTATTTATTACAGTTATGAATAAAACATCTCAAAAATATCGAATACATGTGTACTAGTATTCTTACTAAATTGTTTTAGTATATCTATTTTTTCATATTTATAAGCGATTTATAAATTTACGATTTTACAGAAAGTATTTTACAAGAAATACATTAATGGAGTGTGTAAGATATTTACACAATCGCTACAAGCGTCCAGTATTTATAAATGATAAATAAAACTTAGACTATATATTAAATTTTGTTTTGAAAATGCTACAGGTGTGTATTATACATTTTTGACACTTCACATTCATCACGTTGTGCAGCATATCGGCATCATGTTTGTAACAACGTCATGTGACAAAACTCTCTAGAGTTAACGTCCTTTTGTCAGAGATAATTGGTAAATATACATTTTGAGTATAAAGATATTATATTTGTCTTCTTTGTTTGATGATAAAACATTCGGTGCTATCCTGCTTTTATCGCTGATTTTCATATACATGATTTATAATGTATTTGCAACAAATATTTGTCTTTTCTATTGATCTCACAATATGTATATCTGATTTGTAAATATTACTTTTTTAAAATAAAAATTTAATACTTTTCTTCTTCGGATTAGAAATATGTCATTAAATCCCCAAAAGTATTTTGGACTATTGTTGAAATACTTTAAAATGCTTCAGTATTTTTTACGGACGTTTGATGCTTTACACCATTCTTTACTTGTTTATGTACGATTTTAACTACTACGCAAAGCGTGCTTAGAGGGAAAAAATATTCACAGCACTGTTGTGTTAGTTGAAAAGGAATACTGAAAATAATTGCCCGTAATTTTTCTGCTATTTCCATGATAATTCAATAGCCCAAGAAAGAAAATACAGTATATTAATCTCAAGTATTAATAAATCTTCATGAAGTTATACAACATTGTTCTATTCTGTTTTTATGTAGTCCTCATTAAGTTGCTTAGCAGTCAAATCGACAACACGCGCACACCTTTACATAAACTTTTTCTTCCTAGTTTCCTAATACAAGTATTACACTATTTGCTTGACATTTCATCGGCGCTATTCCAGTCCATTGCTAAGAACGTTTAATTAAGGTTTTTGCATTTTTCGCCATATCTTGTACACTGCACACACAATTTTAAAGCACAATATTGCGAGAAATTAGTTTTCTTATTTGAGAGGATTCGTTGAAAACACAGCCACCACGTGCCCTACATGTACGTACAGCCGCAAACTGCCTTTCCTTGCGAATTATTTACACCATATTTTTTTTACCCATATTAGAAGTATAGAGTACAACGCAAGTATAGACAGTCCATGAATGCATTCCAGTCTGTTACTAATTGATACTGAGATGCGAAAATACTTCATTAATAGCTCTCTGCATGGTGCAAGGGTGATAAAAGGATGACTTGTTTTTAGTTACAATGCCTGACATAAGGGTCTAGAGGAAGGGTCTAGAGGAAGAAGTAATAGTTTATATGGATATGAGTTATATAGAACGTACATATGTAAGTACATTGCAAATCAATTTTATGCGAAATTTTCTACTAAATAACTCAATTCTAGTTTGAGTTTTAAAGACTTAGTAAAATCCCATCTGAGTTTTAAAAATATGTACTTATTCAATCATTACATTACATGTACATGACGTACAATAAACCGTTTTTAATTAAGTATTTGCGCCATAGATGCAGCGATTGTTAGCTTCATGGTAAACAAGTAATGAGTGCCGACACGATTTTCAATGAACAACAATGTATAGAGATAAGCATGACAAGAACCGCCCTTTTCTACTAACAGTGGATTTTCGTACAATGTACATGCATATCTTTACCTTGCTAATTGACTCCTATTATTAGAACTGCACGTAACTTAGTATTACACGAAAATAGCCGGAAGAGAGTTGGTAATTTCAAGTTGAATATTTTTAGAAAACCCAGTGGAGTTATCTAACTTGTTTAGTGGCGCTGGATCGCGAACGGAAGTAGATTTACTATGACAGTAAGCGCCCTGCGCTGCGCTTAGCGCTTAAAAAAGAATAGTTCAGATAATTTCTTTTCCCTGAAGATACATGTACGTTTATTTTTCATATCCTATGTTCAAAACTATACATTAAATAAGAAAAGAATTGATCACATGAACAGTGACGGTGATGGTCATGCTTTAGATCACAGAGCAACTAGTCGGGGTTTGGGTATGTAAAAATGTTTTTGTGTCTCAACATTTGCACTGGTGTTTATAATCATATTTGCATCCAAAAAGTGCGATTCTTACCGTTTGTGATATAAAAGGCAATATTGCAATGAAATAAAAGGTGAACAAGGTGAGAACTCCTCACAGATACGAGGTCCTGGTTCAACGTCTTTATTGTAAGCGGTCACTGGT